GTTGCAAACGGCTCCGCTCGGATGGCCTCGAACCACCACCCGTAGGACAGCAAGTCGAAAAAACTTTTGTGACGCTGGTATTTGAACGCCGGCCTGCGGTAACTCGATCCCACGTCTCTAACCTCTCGGCTATCACAGCAGTTGTGAAACGCGACGGATCATCTGCTTTCATTAACGTTCGTTGAATGAGATTTTTTTATTCTCCAGTCTGTCTATTTGTCTGGGTGTCTGTCTGTCTGTCTGTCTGTCTGTCTGTCTGTCTGTCTGTCTGTCTGTCAGTCTGTCTGTCTGTCTGTCTGTCAGTCTGTCTGTCTGTCTGTCTGTCTGTCTGTCTGAGAGTCTGAGTGTCTGTCTGCCGTCGGTGTCCCCGTCTGCGACCGTCGATTCGCCAGCGTGGCCCCTAAGTCCCGGGCAAGCCGAGGGGCAAGCCCTTTCATTGGCCCCTCCCCTCCCCCTCCCCTTCCCCTGTCATCTTGCCGCTGACTGGCCGCCTCCGCGCCACAATCCACCGCCTAAGCCCGCCATGCCTCGTCGCCCGGGAAAAGACTGCAGCAACAAACACCATTACGTGGCAGACAGACAGATAGACGGACAGGCAGGCAGGCAGACGGACGGACAGACACAGACAGACAGACAGACTGCGGCCCCAACATTACCTCGGGCCACAACTTGGAGGAGGCCCTCCACATGGCGTCGGCGCGCGCGAGAGACGGCGAGAGACGGCGAGAGACCCCCCGCCGGGGCCCCGACGGGGACGATGACGGAGGGGCGACGCTCGTGATCGCTCTTTGTCACACATCATATGTCGCCGGAGATGTCGGGCAGCCGGGCCGGCACGTAGGAGCCATAGCCTACAACTTAAACGGGCGGAGGGGCTGCGGGGGGAGGGGCAGGGGGAGAGGGGAGAGGGGGAGGGGCGCACGTGACCGCCGTGCCGTATTCGCAGGAAGGGCTCCAAGTGACCGAAGTGACCGAAGTGACCGCAGCGCCGTCATCTGCGGCTTCCTCTCTCCTTTTCGTTCCTTTTCTCGCGTGAACTTATTTACGGGGAAAGTAGAGATTTCCTCCACCGCCGTCCCTCTCTCTCTCTCTCTCTCTCTCTCTCTCTCTCTCTCTCTCTCTTCTCTCTCTCTCTCTCTCTCTCTCTCTCTCTCTCCACGCGCAAAAAAACATAATAATATGAAAATAATTAATTTCTCATGAGAAATGACGACGCATTCTCTGCTGAATATTCAAGCAGCGCCGAAACCGCAGACTTGCGACCTTCCCAGGCTGCGAGGCTGCGAGGCTGCGACATTCAAATGCCACCCTCTGCCCGTCACCGCTCCGCTCTGCTCCCACGCGCCGACCGCGGCCCACCACGGGCACCCACAGTGGTCGCACAAAAAGCAACTCGCGGACACCCGCGACGCAGTCAGTTAGGAGCACGCCCCAGCAGTCAAAGGGCCGTGGGTTCAAATCCCGACCTTTTTCTAATCTTCTTCATCTCTTTCAACTCTTTTCCTCCCCAGCATTTTATATTCGGATGATAATGATCTTTGTTCCCGGGCAGCGAAGCGTTGCCGCTGGAGTTCTTCGGGCATCCTCAGGTGGGGCGTTGGGGCCCGGTAGGCCCGCTCCATTAGTGCTGGACCGCCCCCCTCCCCCCCCCCTCCCCCACCCACTTTCACTCTTAACGCGCAACTCCGGCTTGTCCCGGGGGATGCCATTACACCACGGCGGCCGAGTCGGCCGAGTGGACTTGTAAAAACTTAAACGGCCACAATTATTGCCGTGCATCCGCCTGGCTTAGCCACGCCGTGCCAGGCCGTGCGGACTACATTGATTTCCCCCGCGTGTACTAGTCCGCTAGGCCGCTAGGCCGCCGATAATGCGCGGCCTAAGCCGTGACAGACAGGCACGGCGACGTGGCCGTCGACGCGGTGACCAGCATTGACGGCCTCGTGGCCTCGCGGTCAGCGGGGAGCTCTGCCACCACCAGCCCGACGGCCGCCAGCTGTTTGGAGCCAGTTCGCACCACTCAGACCGTGCCAAAAAGAAAAAAAAACCACGTAAAAGAAAAAAATGGTGGGATTCGAACACCGGTTTCTGATGCTCGAAATCAACGCGTTTACGCTCTCGGCCACGCCGTTTTCCAGCATTCAACCGTTGAAGCGGGGCTGACGACGCGGCCGCCTCCCCGCGTTTCCAGCTTCCAGGCCGGTGCGTGCGGGCCGCTCGGGCCGCTCCCTTAAGTGGCCTGGAGGGGGAGACACAGTGGCAGTCAGGGCCAGGGTCGCCGAGTTGATTACACCGTGAGGGGCCGCGGCAGAAGGGGGAGGGGGAGGAGGGGAGGGGGTGATATCACAGTGGGGGCGCAGGGAAATGGCCGTGTGAGTGGCTGAGCCCAAAACGCCACCGACTGTATATTAATTTCCCACGCATCAATGGGCCGATAATTACGGGCCGGAAACGTAGCGGCCCCTCCCCCTCCCCTCCCCCTCCCCTCCCCCCCCCTCCCCCGGCCCTACCCGCGGCCCCCTAGGCGTTTACCGCGTAAATGGGCAGCGACGCGGGGCCATGGCGGCCGTTGTACCGCCGACAGGGCCTGCTTAATGTGCAGCGGGAAGCCTTTACGCCTCCCCGGAGGCCGTGGGCGCGGACGTGCCGCGGCTGACAGCGACAACGACGGTGACCCCACAGGGCCACGCAGGGCCACGCAGGGCCACGCAGGGCCACGCAGGGCCCGCAGCCACGCAGGGCACGCAGGGCCACGCAGGGCCACGCAGGGCCACGCAGGGCCACGCAGGGCCACGCAGGGCCACGCAGGGCACGCACACGCAGGGCCACGCAGGGCCACGCAGGGCCACGCAGGGCCACGCAGGGCCACGCAGGGCCACGCAGCCACCGCAGGGCCGCGCAGGGCGGCACGACAGGGCCACGCAGGGCCACGCAGGGCCACGCAGGGCCACGCAGGGCCACGCAGGGCAGCAGGGCACGCAGGGCACAGCCAGCAGGCCACGCAGGGCCACGCAGGGCCACGCAGGGCCACGCAGGCACGCAGGGCCACGCAGGTGCCACGCAGGGCACGCAGGGCCACGCAGGGCCACGCAGGGCCACGCAGGCCACGCAGGGCCACGCAGGGCCACGCAGGGCACGCAGGGCCACGCAGGGCCACGCAGGGCCACGCAGGGCCCCGCAGGGCCACGCAGGGCCACGCAGGGCCACGCAGGGCCACGCAGGGCCACGCAGGGCCACGCAGGGCCACGCAGGGCCACGCAGGGCCACGCAGGGCCACGCAGGGCCACGCAGGGCCACGCAGGGCCACGCAGGGCCACGCAGGGCCACGCAGGGCCACGCAGGGCCCCGCAGGGCCAGCAGGGCCACGCAGGGCACGCGGGCCCCGCAGGGCCACGCAGGGGCCCCGCAGGGCCCGCAGGGCCACGCAGGGGCCCCGCAGGGCACGCAGGGCCAGCGGGCCACGCAGGGCCACGCAGGCCACGCAGGGGCCCCGCAGGGCCACGCAGGGCCCCGCAGGGCCCCGCGGGCCACGCAGGCCACGCAGGGCCAGCGGGCCACGAGGGCCACGCAGGGGCCCCGCAGGGCACGAGGGCCACCGGGGACGCAGGGCCACGCAGGGCCACGCAGGGCCACGCAGGGCCACGCAGGGCCACGCAGGGCCACGCAGGGCCACGCAGGGCCACGCAGGGCCACGCAGCCGGGTGCCGTCTCGGGTGGCGGCAAGACAGTAACTCGGAATGCCGCAATTCAGGAGTCGTCAGGGGGGCGGCGACAAGCAGAGCGACAAGCTCCACACGCCGACAGGGCCGTCAAGGTGCCACAGTGTTGCACCGAGCACCGTGCTCGCACCTGCACTGTGCAACAGTGCACCGGAACGGGCCTGGCAGGCGGACAGTCACCGGCAGACACCGATAGACACGGTTGAGAAGGTGGAACCACGGGAAGCGCCTGCGGCAGTCGAGGGAGGCATCCCGGTGGTCATGTCTGCGCGGCGGGATGGCCTACCCTCGTCTTCGCAGGCGGTCTCGAAGGTTTCCACAACCGCATTTGTTCCGTTGGGAGCTCACGCTGGCTCGTTGATGCCATCGTGGTTTCGGTCCGAGTGTCATTTAAGACCAACAACCAGAATGCTCAAAGGTCTGAACTTGACAGCCAGCCCACGCACCGCCCGATATTGCACGCGCCAAAGGGGCGGCGGTAAAACAGTCAAAGTTTCGTCCCGTCTCTCTCTCCCCCTCTTGCACTGGCCGCGGCGAGGTCGCCGCGAATGCGCGCGCTGACCCGCACCATCCCGGACCGAATCTCGGCTCTCGTAGGGCATTCCTTGGCCCGGGGCGTCGTCGCGAATATCGAGCCTCCTGCCTCGTATCCAATATATGTGGGCCCGCCCCGCCCCGCCCCCATCCTTGCCAGGGCGCGGGCCGCACTTTGGCCGCTTGCCTCTTCGAGTCTTCGCTCGCGGCCTCGCAGATCCCGGGCCGGATTGGTCCCGGGCCGAGCAAACAGGGAGGTCGCGGCAGTAAAGGCGGCCCGGAGCCCGGTCTGCAACAACTCGCTGGAGGCAGAGGGCGCGCGGCCGGCAGGGAGCACGGCGGGGAGGACGGCGGGGAGGACGCGGAGGCACGGAGGGCCAAACGGCGCCAGGTAATACAGCACCGCGGTTGTGCAATCAACATCCAACATCAACATGCCATCAACCCTGAGGGCCGGCCTGCCGTCCGCCGCGCCACGTCCGCACTCCGCACAGCGAGCCGCACAGCGAGCCGCACAGCGGGGAGGCGCGGCGCCACGACCCGGCTGGCCCCCCGCGCGCGCATTAAATGTGCACCATCCCGACACAACGGGGGGGGGGGGGGGGGGGAGTCTGCGTCCACAAAACGAAGCAACATGCACTTTCCGCGCGAGGATTGCAGCGTGCTTCATTGCGTATTCCGTTCGACAAAAAAATGCGACCTGGGTTTTGTTTGATCCCGCGGGTTTTAAAAATAATCCACTCGTACCTTCTGAGCTGGCGCTTGGACAGGATGAGCACCATGAGGGCGAAGTTGGCGGCCATGCCGAGCGAGCCGAGGCAGAAGATGATGGCGGCCTCGGTGGTGCCGCCGGGGTGGCACTGGAAGGCGGGCGACGAGCTGATAGACACGTTGCCCGAGCCCAGGCCGCCGCTGCCCAGCCGGAGGTTGGCGCCGATCATGACGGCGGGGCCTGCAATGTAAGGGGGAACAGTCAGTCGGGCTACTTGGCGGCCTGCTGGGCCTGCTGCGTCGTCGTGGAGTTTGTAAAGGCCGAGGACTCGCCGCACAGTGGGCCAGAAGACCGGTGGCGGCGGCCGAAACTCTAGACGCTTTTCGAGCTCCAGAGTCGCTAAATGGGACTCGAACCGGACGTGTGACCCCACCAATGGATTCCTCGTTCGGAGAGCAATCCATTGGTGGGGTCACACGTTCGGTTCGAGCCCCATTTAGCGACGCTGGAGCTCAAAACGCGTCTAGAGTTTTGGCCGCCGCCACCGGTCTTCTGGCCCACTGTGCGCCGTCGTCCACACCACGCTCGCCATAACCCCCGAGCGTGATGACGCTCAGTGAACGGGGATTAGTCCACTAGGCCATAATATCGTGTATCGGCGACCCTGCCGGCTGCTCGGGGGTGGGGATTTAGGACAAGGGAATTCTAAGGGGAATTACTGGTCGTCTTGGTCGCCCTGCGGCTTGGCGGGCTTGGCCACCGGATTGACCCCACCCCCACCCCTCCCCGAAGTGGGTCCCCAGGGGTTCAAATCGAGCGGGGCGCCGCCGCGACTGTCTGTCTGCTGGCGCAGGCGGTACACTCACTGCCAAAGAGAGGAACCATGGTTCGATACATCGATATTCGTGATGCACTATCAGCCAAAAACAGGTACCATTTTGGTTCGATACATCGATACCCGTGGTACACTGCTAAAAAAGAGGTGGTTCGATACATCGATATCGGTCCGGATGACCCTGTCGCCTCCATTTGCGAGCACTCCGTTTCACTGCGCAGCTCTGCGGCCGAACCGCCGCCAGGCTGCGGCTTTTGCGAATAAACGGACTGCCGCTGCGTGCGGACGCGAACGCGGTGCGGTCCCAGTGGAGTCACTTCCAAAAAGAAAAAAAGAAAAGAAAATGGAGCAAAAGTGTCGCACGGGTTCCACGAACCGAACACCTGCATAGAGTGCGGGAGCCACACTGCAGCACAATAAAGCCTTTTTTGCTCTTTGAACACCGCGTCGTTGCCAGCCTAGCACCCCACCGCCGCATGGAAGGCCGCCCAGACAACACCGTGTTGTTGTTGTTGTTGCTGTTGTTGTCGCGCTCGTGTTGTTTGTTTTTCTTTCCGGCGACTGTCACCATAATTTCTGGGCCCTGGTGTGTAATCTGACAAAATGGCTCATAGCGCGCGGGGCGGCGCGACACTGTGTGTTGCGACACTGTGTGTGTGGCGAGGCCAGGCAAGGCCTGATTGTGCCGATCATTTGGCCAGCCGATACGTCCTCCAGCAAGGTATTGAATGAATAAAACACGAGGCGCGCCCTGTGTGTCTGTGTGTGTGTGTGTGATACTGAAAGAGAGTGTGATTGTGTGTGTGCGTCACCGAAAGCTGCCCCCAACGTAGTGTGGCCGGGATTCATCCGATGCGATCGGACCAACAAAGGCGCGACACGCCTGTAATTAAAAGCAAACAGAATACGGAATGCCCCGTGCAGGTGTCGCATCGCCTGTCTCTCTCGCTCTCGCGCACTCACGGGGCGTCCCGTAAGGGGGCGAGAGAGACGGAGATAGCAGGGGGGCGGCGCGGGGTGCTGACGGAGTGTTAATGAAGGCGGCCGAACTTTGCAAGTAATAGGGCGCCGCACTGATTGAGGACGGAGAAGTAAACCAAGTCGCCGCCGCGCTGCCTGCCTGCCTGCCTGCCTGCCTGTCCCCAGGGGCCGTATCACACTGGCTCGTCCCGGTGCAAAAAAAGAACGCGATCAGTGTGGAAAAAAGAAGAAGCTACGAGCTCGTTTTGTTGTCGCCCCACACCGCAACGCCGCCTGGCCTATTTCGCATAACTTGCCGGCGCGGCCGAGTTAGTTAGGGCACCGAGGTCTGGCGCCCGGGGCGCGGGTTCGACTCCCGGCGACACTAATTACTTTTACTTGGGCCCGGCGGCCCGGCGGCCCTGCGGCCCCGCGGCGCGACACCGCCGCCCCCGGGGCGCCCTTGGCATATTGAATTGTTTGCCTGGCAGGCCTCCCCTCGCCCTTCGCCCTCCGCGCTGGACGGAGATCTCTTCGTCCGACCTGCCGTGCCTGCCGTGCCCCCAGCTGATTAGCGTGAAATTAATTTCGCGATTAATCGCATCCAGACCTGTTCATCCCTCGCGGGGCCTGGCCGGCCTAGGCCTGGCTGCTTGCCGCAGAGCCGAAGATGGGGAGGCGCAAACAATCCCCCCCCCAACCCCCCAGCCCGCCCCCGTTTCAACACTTCCCAATCCGGGGTCCGTTTGCTCCGGCCTCCCCGGCCTCCACTCCATTAGGCATCTACACTGCCAAGTCGTTATCTGTCGTCACGCCGTCATCTTTCCGACTGCAAGTTTCACGCGTTACGGCGAGCAAACGACCAACAAAAACAACAACCAAAGCAATAACTCTCAAGTGGCATCGAACCCGTGACCTCCAGCTTCGCTCACCGGTGCGCCAGCGCGCTCGGCTGCTGAGCCGTACGTGTCACGCCGCCGCCCAGGCGAGACGCCTTGATCGAGGCGCAAGGATGTTGATAGTCTGACACGCCCCTCATGGGAATACAAGGTGTGCGGGTGATTTATAGCCGTCGGCGGCCCGAATCCCCCGCATCCGCGTTTTGTGCCGTCCCTGCATATTTTCCAGGCGAGGCGTCCGGGGCGCCATGCGGGGCGCGGGGCCGTGGGGGCGCGGGGGCCGCGGGGGGCGCGGGGGCTCAGGGGAGGCTCATCCCGGCTCTGCGAGGACCTTAGCTTCTCGCCAAAGACTGTCTCACGTCGTGCCGTTTTTTTTTTATTTTTCAAAACTTTCTGTTACTTTTTTTTTTTTTGAGGAGGAAGTATACTTGTAAAGAAACCATTGAAAACACTGCAGTGTGGGTGCGGCGTTGCGTGGCGTGGCGCGGCGGGGCGCGGCGGGGCGCGGCGGGGCGCGGCGGGGCGCGGCGGGGCGCGGCGGGGCGTTCCTAACGCAGTGCGGCGGGCCGTGGCGCGGCGACTTCACGCTCGCTTGGACGGCAAGCCCGAGGGCCATGGACCCGGCCCAGCCAAGCCCGGGGCGCGGAGATGCAGTCACACTGCCTCAGCACCACACCGGATGGGAGGTTCAGTTTCGCAGCTCCAGCAACTTGGATGAAAGTTGTTTATGAAATCCAACGCTTGGCCGGCCCACCCGGAGTTTGCACCCCTGCAGGGCCCTGCTGTGGCTCTCCATGCTCTGCGGCGATCCTCGCTCGCTGCGTGCCTCGGCGCCGCGGCCTTATTGTTTCCAATCTTGTTCATTTCTGTCGCCAGCGCGCTGCAGCGCCGCCATCCCGCGGGCCGGCCAGCGGACCGGGCGGCGCGGGCGGCCCGCCACAAAGGAAACTTGTATCCCCCGCACCGGCGGGGCCGGCGGGGCCGGCGGGGCCCCCACCCCACGCCATGCTCCCTCCTCTGCCTCCACGCTGCGAACCGTGAGATCTAGCCGATCCCGAAACCAGGACCAAGTTATTGCGCCAGTGAATCGCCCCGGAGTTTCAATCTGCTCTTCCAAGCAAGCGGGCCGCCCAGCCAGGCAGACAGGCAGCCAGGCAGACAGGCAGCCAGGCAGCCAGGCAGGCAACCAGCGCCGCCTTGGACGCGACTTTGGCTGCGACTCCGTTGCTCCGGGCGAGGCCTCCAATGCAAAACACGACACGCGTAGAGTTCCGCCGCACTTGAACGCAACAACAAACAACAACAATAACATGCACCGCGATTCGCTGGCTTTGGTGTTGCGCTCTGGGCTCGTCTCGTCGCCAGGACTCCGGGGGTCTCGGAAGCGCCGGCGAGGTGTCCTCCAGCTCTGTCCCCGCGGCCCGGGCCAGCGTTGGGGCCACAGTCCCGGGCCAGCCAGACCCTGGGGACGAGAAGGCGGGCAAAAGAAGATATTGGTGGGGAGGGGGGGGGGGGGGGGCGCACGTGGATCAGCACGGCAGCATCTGGCGCTCGCAGCTGCCGCATCTGATGACTAACGCTGGAGAAATGTTTCCTTGGTTCGTCATTTCCTCCCTCTTCTTCGCACTAGCAGCCTGCCTGCCTGCCCGCTGGCCCCCCAGGACTTCGAGAAGTCAGCTCCGCGCCGCTTTGCGCTCAGAACGATCAGCGGGAAGAATTATTGCGAGGCGCTTCGAGTGGAGTGTCTGTCGCGCTGATGGGTGCCTCCAATTATTGGGAACGGAACGAGGACGGTTGGTGGAAGTGCACTGTTAGTGGCTCTGAAGGTAGCGTATTAAGGGAGAGTACTCACGGCAGTTTCCCGAGTTCAAATACTTTAATAAAAACAGCCATTTCCGCTCAATGAATCAAAATTTGTTTTCGTCTTTGAGTGTCGAAAATTGAGCGACTGGGGCCGCGAGGACGGGGCAACGACTGACGCCTTCATCAGTGGAGTGGCAAAACCCTCGGGCCGCCCCACTCTTGAAGCGGCCGGGATTTTAATTGCAGCTTCTGCAGGGGCCAACTACCCGCCGCCACCAACGGTAGCGCAGCGCAGCCGACGATTATACGTTCGACAAAGCAAGCCCCCCCCCCTCTTCCCTCTGTCTCCCTCGCGCTCCTGGGTGGCATGGAGAGAGAGCGAGAGAGAGAGAGAGAGAGGGGAGAGAGAGAGAGAGAGAGAGAGAGAGAGAGAGAGAGAGAGAGAGAGAGAGAGAGAGAGAGAGCGGCGAAGCCCTGCTCGGAATCAGCCCGCTGGAGGGCGAGGAGGGGCTGGAAAACACTAACGAAAGGCAGGGGAGGGGGAGGAAATAGGCTTCTCCACACGCCCCGGCTAAATCCCAGCTTATTCTGATCCACTGGGCACCTCGACTCGCCCAGCGCGCCTTGACTCGGCTTGCGACGCGACAGCAGCCGTATCGGCGCCCCGTAGATAACGCTGCCGTATTCCACGCACGACAAACAAAACAAAAAGGAGGAGGAGAGAGAAAAAAAAATCAAGTCAA